AAACAATGTCGGGGCGATCGATAGCGGGCGTCGGAGCTGCAGTCAGCAGGCCCAGAGTTCTTGCAGCGAAAGTATTTGTGCAATTTGAATTTCGACACCTGATTAGCCTTAATAGTTGGATCGATTTGGTGGCTAGATTTGATTGGTCTGCACGAAAATAGTTTGCGTCTATTCACACAGCCTTTGAGTGGTATGAACTAACTGGACCAGAGATGAAAAAAGAGATGGTAGGACGACTCGCTGGCGCTCTTCTCGAACCGCGAACTCATCCTCCGAAATAACCGTCTGCCGAGTGTGTACTGCGTACTGGGTTTTTTCCAACCAAGCACTCGAGACTCGCCTTTTCTTCGAACGAAGTAGTATTGAAAGGATAATCACAAATGACTGGACAATGATCAAGCCCATAGAATAGCAAGTGTCCTCGAGGATGGACTGGATAACCAAAAGACGATTCAAACTAATTCGGCCGCAAAAGAATGATGCGGTTGACAGAGTTTATTGAACTAATCCGAACTATCTGTGCTCATCAAGACTAATTCTGGGAAAATATGGAAAGAGGTCGTGAGCTCAAAGGAGGTTGATAAAAAGTGACTCTGAACAAGGAATTTATAAATGTATATGATCATCAAATAGGATCCAGGTCGATTAAGGCTGATCCGAGCTAATCTGGGGCGAGTCTAAATGAATTGGAATTTATGGAGGATATTCGTTAAATAATTGTGTTGTGTTGTGATCTAAATTTATTTCTTGGCAAAGGGTAGAATAAAACAAGTGTTTGGGATGATCGTTTGTCAATCAAGCTGATCAAAGAGGAGGCAATATGATCAACTCCGATGCATTCTAAATAAAGATGTGCACAGAAAAGTTAATTGATTCCGATGAATATCCTGATAAAGCATTTTGAGTTACTTTTGATTCGAATGGACGATTTTCAGCAAATTGGTTATCAAATATGATCCAGATCAATCTAGGATGATTAAAACGGAATTAAAATGCATAGATAATATCCGCTGAATATATGTACTATGTCTTGAAGTGCAATTAACTTCTTGTGAGGATCTGGTAGATGGAGTCTAACCAGAATTTTCCATATTGATTCCAGATGTAGATACGAAGAGAAACTTGGTTTCGATGAATCTTCTGAGATAACATTGTTAGGGGGACCTTCATTT